CAAAGGGTGGGGGCTAACCAGGGATGCGAAGATAAGTTGCTTCGATCGCGTTTGACTGCGGATCTCGCTCAAATGGATGCTGCGGCGGATGTGCAGACCTTCTCGGAGCAAGACTGGGCTCAGCGCTACGCGCTTGAGGCCCAGGTCGAGTCCCTTCTTAGAGCGGAGGAGGAGTACTGGTGTATACGTGGTGGTATCAAGTGGACGCTCAAAGGTGACGCGGACACTCAATATTTTCACGCCTATGCTAATGGCCGTCGCCGCAAATGCGCCATTCTGTGCTTGCAATCTGAGCAGGGGCTCCTTTTGCGGCAACAAGATATCGTACACCACATCTACGATTTCTACATCCAACTTATGGGTTTCAAGGAGGAATCCCGTGCCCGGCTTAGGGCGGATGTGTGGGACCCTGCGTTGCGGGTCACGGATGAGGAAAATGAGGGCCTGGGATTGGCCTTCACCCCGGAAGAGATTGACAAGGCGACTCTTGGCATGAAATCCGACACCGCACCCGGGCCGGATGGGTGGCCGGTGGCGATGTTCAAAAGGTCTTGGCAAGTGCTCAAAGGGCCTATTTTCGACGTATGCAATGGTTTTATGCGGGGTACGGTAGATATCTCGTGTCTAAACTTTGGGGTTCTCTCTCTGATCCCCAAAGTTCCGGGCGCGGATCAAATTAGGCTCTTTCGTCCCATTGCGTTGATTAATGTTCCGTTTAAAATTTGTGCGAAGGCTTGCTCGACTCGATTGTCTCCGATAGCTCACCGTATTATTAGTAGGAACCAATCGGCTTTTATTCGGGGGCGCAACATCTTGGAGGGGCCGTTGGCCCTCCAAGAGATTGTGCACTCCCTAAAACGCGCTCGTCAGCCTGCGATCCTCCTGAAACTTGATTTCGAGAAGGCGTACGATCGCGTGAACTGGGAGTTTCTCCGACAGGTCCTCCTGGACCAGGGATTCTCGTCGGTTTGGGTTCATCGCATGATGCAGTTGGTCTCAGGGGGCCAAACGGTGATTGCGGTGAACGGAAAAGTAGGGAACTTCTTCCGCAACAAGCGTGGGCTGCGTCAAGGGGACCCAGCCTGGCCGTTGCTGTTTAACTTTGTGGCAGACGCCTTGGGCGCCATGCTAGACAGAGCCCGTTTGGCTGGTCACACCAGGGGAGTGGTGGACAACCTGATCCCGGGGGGTGTGTCACACCTGCAATACGCGGATGACACTCCTCCTTTTCGAGCCTGACACACACAGTATCGCAACGGTCAAGGCCATTCTGCTGTGTTTTGAACTCATGTCGGGGCTTAAAATCAACTTCCACAAATGTGAAGTAGTGTCCATAGGGATGGACGCGGCCGAGAGTCAGCGGGTTGCCAACTTACTTAACTGCAAACTTGGCCAGTTTCCGTTCACTTACCTCGGCCTCCCGATCACGGCGAAGAAATGTTCGATTGCCGATTGGGAACCTCTCACCTCCAAGGTAGCGGACAGGGTGTGTTCGTGGAGAGGGAGATTTATGTCTTCGGGGGCTAGACTAATCTTAACCAACTCCAGCCTCTCATCCCTACCTATGTTCGCCATGGGTCTGTTCCTGCTAGCGGATGGGGTACACACTAAGTTGGATACCCCGCGGTCTCGTTTCTTTTGAGAAGGAGCGGGACCTAGACGGAAATACCATATGGTCAAATGGCAGGCCGTTTGCAGACCTAAAGCCCAAGGGGGCCTTGGGATTATCAACTCCAAGCTGATGAACATTGCACTCATGTGCAAATGGATCTGGAAGATGTCTCAGGGTGAGACTGGCCTCTGGATCGACCTCCTTCGTGTGAAATACTTCCCGAATGGGAATTTCTTCGAGGCGGCCCCTCGTGGGTCCCCCTTCTGGAACTCCATTCAAGCCCTCAAACCCTTCTTCGCCATGGGCGCAAAGTTTGGGGTTAACAACGGGTGCTCCACGCGGTTTTGGCTAGACCTTTGGATTGGCCAACAACCCCTTTGGTCGGAGTTTCGCCATCTCTACTCCATTGCAGTCGAACCCAACCAATTGGTTGCTTCGGCTCTTAGCTCATCCCCACCCTACATCAACTTCAGAAGAGAACTATCGGGGACGGAGATGGCGGAGTGGGATCGCCTTCGGGCGTTGATTGCGGATGTGCACCTGTCGGACTCCGCGGACACGGTCTCTTGGAGACTTTCGGGCTCTGGCAAATTCTCTGTCAATTCCTTATACAAAGAGCTTACCCGCGGCCAGGTCCCTTCGGCTGCCATGGGGCTATGGAAGGCTAAAATCCCTCTCAAGATCAAAGTCTTCCTCTGGCAACTCGGCCAAGATCGCCTTCCTACCTCTATCAACCTTGCTAAGTGCAACGGGCCCGCCTCCGGCCCTTGTGCTTTGTGTGGGGTTCCGGAAGATGCTGACCACGCCTTCTTCCGGTGCTCTTTGGCACGCTTCGCTTGAAGCGCGGTCCGCGAGGCCGCGGGGGTGGATTGGGATCACAAGGCGGATCTGGAGCTCCGGTCTGCAGTTCTACATACACCAGGCCCCTGTTCCACCATATCAGCTTTTCGTTGTGATCACAAGGCGGATCTGGAGCTCGTCTCAGCACCAGGCATCGGCTCCACTGTATCATCATAAATCAGAGGAACTAGTGAGACATCAAATCAACCAATTACTCGCAAAAGACTGGGAAGAGGAGCCGATCCGGAGGGAGGCGGAGGTCGCAGGATGGGGATCACCACCAGAGACGTCGCTACTGGTGTGAGAGAGAAGAAAGGCGACCGTGATGAGGCTGAGCCAGCCACTACTCCCGAGGGAGGTTGCAGGAAGGAGAGGACATGCTCGCGCCGGAGGGAGGCGGGGGACGTCGCGAGGTAGAGCGGAGGAGATCGCCAGGGAGATGCTCGGTCGCGATGCTTCAGCGTCACGAGGGAGACGCGGGCCGGTTTCCTCCCCGACGTCGGGAGGTGTGGATTTGACGCCCAGGGAAGCGAGGGGGATAGGGCTGAAAAACCCTGCCGGCGGGGACAACCAAATGCGTCTCCCCAGGGATTAGACGGGGATCCCGGGGGGATTCGACGAAACCAAACAAGGCCTTGGATGTGAGATTTCCTCCCTGAAGTTTTTTACAACTAATAAATACTTTTAAAATATACATTCTTCCAAATAAAAGGATGACTTGACCTTGAGAGACAAAAAAATGCTATCAAAATATTCACCAGATTCTATTTCACAAAATAGTATTCATAGACATATATACCCAAATGTGCAATGTTTCTTGGGAACCTTTCCATGCATGTGTCACGCCTATTTGTTCAGGGAAAATATGATCCAGACCCAAGACGATTTTTGGAGTGCTTCTCGAAGAACGGTTCTGCTAAATTAGTACAAGAATTTCAGCTCAAAGACCTTCACTGCTCAGCAAGTAAATGAACAATTATGAGGAACGAAGAAGATAAGATAAAATGCTGAACTTGAGCCATCGTAACAGAAAATAAATTAGACAATGAATATTTCGCAATAAACAGGTTTCGTGGTTCTACAACGTACAGCTAAAAGAAAGAAGAAAAAACGCACACCAATTGTTCTATAGTATCAAAATGTACCAAGGAATGGGCCAAGCTCACCGAAATCCATATGAGATGAATGAACCGATCTATAATTTTACGGAACACTATTGCTGAATAAAATGGATAATAAAAAGGACCCTGTTTCACTAACAAAATAGTACCACACATCAGTTTATTACTGCCTGCTTTCTGTTCATACTACGAAAACCAACAAGAATAGAGAATTTATCCCAAGGAACAGAGAAGTTCAAAATGCACCAGCCATATATCCTTATTATAGTCATACCGCCCTGATATACAGAGTACTGAATAAAAAAGGAACATGCTGACAGTCGATGAAAATTACGGGCAGAACCATATTACCTCTGAACATTGATCTGCGTCAGTTTGTGCAACAACAAATAGTATTGATATTGTGATTCCTAGAGATAACACCAGCATGATCTGGTTAAGCCAGGTTACAGGGTTAAACTCAACATGGTGCTGTATCGATCAAAATAGAAAAATCGCAGACCGGCCCTAAACTAAACCTCTAGACCTCATATTAAATGCCAGCACATACAGACTACAACTGGATCCATAAAACATGTACATGGCAAAGAGAGAGCTGCAAAAATAACTAGACAAGCATGTATGATTCAGACTTTTGCATGCTTCACAGGTCACCCTAATCATCAATGCCAGCATATACAAAACACTGACAGTTACAGATTGCTACAACTAGATCCATGTAGCCATGTACAAGGCAAAAGGTCTAGAACCTGCACAAATAATAACACAATTACATAAGCATATGTGACTCAGACTTTTGCATGCTGCCTCTTCACAGATCAGAGATCACCCTAATCATCAAGAGGCTGGCATATAACATAATACACATCAACCGTCAATAAAACACCTCTCTAGTACCCTGTTATGATTAACTAACCTCAAACTGGCTTCGATGGGAACAAGCCGGTCAAGCACCTGTTGCTGCTCAGCTTCTTCAAATTCTTTCTCGAACCAGACAAAAGGGGCACGCTCGCTGATTAATCTGACCATGCTGAAAACGATTGCATCTTCAAGGGAGCCACCCAAAACCGACAGGAATTTGTTGACTCGATTCCGTGTGAGGCTAAGCCATAGATGCTGGAAGAAGAAAAGGCGCTTAGACGCCAGCCACTACATGCCCCGCCTGACACTCCCGTAGGAGTTTGGCTAGTAGTAGACTGTACAGCTTAAAAAAAAATTGCTGCTCCTTCTGTTTGAGTTTGGATTCAGTTTTGTTTCGGAAAGCCTAGTTCTGTCTTTTTATTGGTGGTGCAACTGAATTGTACTCTTTGCGTCATCCTGATGGCTTCTTCTAAACTCACTTGCAATTTACATATAGAAAATGCATTTCTTGTACAAGCAGGATGGCTGCAAGTGAAAGAAGTTAAATTTCAGATATCATGTACCAACTATTCAACTGTGGCTGCTTCTTCCAGAAACTGATACTTTGTAGGGAGCAATTTGATGTGTTCTCTATATTTCCCTTTCCTTGAAAACAGAGAGATCAGCTGTGAAACAGTTTTAGCTTCAAGTGAGTAGCTCTTTGCATCAACTTTAGACATATAATTTCCAGCCTTGACTATCTCTCCTTTTTCCAGTAACCTTCTGATGATATGATTTAACAGGCAAGAGTTGGCAGTACAGCCGCTCTTCTCCATCGATAAGAAAAGATTGTCAGCTTCTTCCACTGAACCCTCTTTTATAAGATTTGTCATCATTATGGTGTAGGTAACAACATTAGGAACCAAGCCATTGGCTGGAATAGCAGCAAACAAATCCTTAGCCTCTTGGTTTCTCTCGACCCTGTAGAAGGCACCAATAATGATATTGACAATTGTAATATCAAATTTCACATTCATTGCGCTTAATTTCTGGAACAGGGTGATCGCTTCGCTACTGCAGCTATTTCTACAAAGTCCACCAAGAACTATAGAGTATGTATCAATGCACACAGTTACTCCAGATTCAACCATCTCATGAAACTTCTCTTTTGCAGCAACAGTTTGTCCAGCCAGAAATAATCCATCCAGTATGACGTTGTAATTAAAAGTTGTTGGTTTAAGTCCCTTGCACAACATATCTTTGAACAGAATCAGCCCGTGATCAATCCTTCCATTTTTACAATAGCCATTAATAAGTATACCATATGTAATATTACAAGGTTCTAAACCAATCCATCCAGTATGACGTTGTAATTAAAAGTTGTTAGTTTAAGTCCCTTGCACAACATATCTTTGAACAGAATCAGCCCGTGATCAATCCTTCCATTTTTGCAATAGCC